TTTTTTTTTTTTGTGGTACGCGGGCCTCTCACTGTTGTGGCCTCTCCGGTTGCGGAGCAACAGGCTCCGGACGCGCAGGCTCAGCGGCCATGGCTCACGGGCCCAGCCGCTCTGCGGCATGTGAGATCTTCCCGGACCGGGGCACGAACCCGCGTCCCCTACATTGGTAGGCGGACTCTCAACCACTGCGCCACCAGGGAAGCCCCTGTTAGACTCTTCTTAATGCCCCTGGGCATGTGGTAGAGCGATCTGGAGCTTTTCTTGACTTGTTGGTTATGATCTCAGCTGCATGACTGCTGCACCTCTTTCATTACTTCAGCTGATGACTCATCTCTTAATTTTTCTCCCAACATCAACAAAATGAAGTAGCGGATTAAAGAAACAAATGAAAGAAAAAAAAATATTTGTGATCTAACCCAGCCTTAGCCTTGCTGTGAAGACTCAGGTGCTAATTTAAACTTTCCACCAAGGAAGAACAGAGATCAAGTTTATAGTTGACGTGCTCTGTGTTCAAGGCAACCCAGAAAATTACATACCTAAAGCTACTGAAAGGATATTTAAAAAGCTGACCAGAGCAGGATTAGAATTGCCACTCCAGAAGAACAGTGATGAAACTCACCTTCAGAAAGTGTTCCAAACTTTGGTAAAAGCTGTTCTGTGAAACTGTCCTTCTTTACAAGTCTACATTTTTGCTCAGTGTTCCAGAGAGATTGTTCTGTTTTTACTAAATCAAGCTTTATTCAACAGTGCTCTGTACCAGAGACTATAACCTATGAAGAAACAAAAAGTCCAAAGTCATTATGCAGTTAAAGGGGAGAGCATAAAAGCCCTTTGGCCATCAAAAATGTGAACAGAAACAGCTAGTAAGGATGTGCTTTCCCGGGGTATTTTTCTCCATTGATCATGTAAGGATTCATCAACCATTTCATCATAGGGGAAAAGCTGATGAACCTAGATTTATGAGTGAACATTCGTGCTGGGAACAGATAAAATCAGCAATCCAGGAGACTCAGCAGGAGGGAGTAGGGACTTGAAGGAAGACTCAAAGAAAAATCTCTCAAGTGAATCAGGGCACTACTTAGTGTAAATCAGGAGTTGGCTTTTATCCTTCACCCTGGTGCTTCCTGCTGAACTTTTGGAAATTAGCCAGTGTTGTAATTAACCCTCCCCCCGCCTCCCAGCTTTTCTTAAGTAAGAAAGAGAGTAAAATCTCCATCTTTTTCAATGGTGAGGTCACTGCAAATAACTTAAAGCCCTTCCTTCCTGTAAGACTGAGCGTTTTGGGAAGTATGCATGCTGCCTGGGTGCTCATGCAACAGTTAGGGTTCAGATTCCTCTACTCCCTCTAAGTGAAGGCTGCAGACCGGGCACCCAGGGTGGCTCCTACTAAATGGCTGAGAGGGGTGGTGGTGGCACTGCCACACATGGGCCTATCACCTCTGCCTTCGTGGTCCTCCCAGAGATTTCATTTCTTCCACTTGCAGATTCTTAGGAGTCCACCAAAATTCTCTCTCTAAATCAAGCCCTATCCTCTGTGATTAGTAATTTCCACAACACGGAAATACTATTTTACTGTTAAATCAAAGTACATAAATTTCTTTTTTTTACACTGAATTATAGTTGATTTACAATGTTGTGTTAATTTCTACTGAACAACAAAGTGATTCAGTTATACATATATATATATATATATATATATATTCTCTTTTATATTCTTTTCCATTATGGTTTATCACAGGATATTGAATATAGTTCCCTGTGCTATACAGTAGGACCTTGTTATTTATCCATTCTGTATGTACTAGTTTGCATCTGCTAACCCCAAACTCCCAGTCCAACCCTCCCCCACCTCCCCTGCCCTTGGCAACCACAAGTCTGTTCTCTGTGTCTGTAGTCTGTTTCTGTTTTGTAGATAAGTTCATTTGTGTCATATTTTAGATTCCACATATAAGTGGTATCACATGGCATTTGTCTTTTTCTTTCTGACTTACTTCACTTAGTATGATAATCTCTAGGTCCATCCATGTTGCTGCAAATGGCATTATTTCATTCTTTTTTATGGCTGAGTAATATTCTACTGTATATAAAATACATAAATTTCTTTAGTTGACTCTCCAAAATGAATACAAATGTGCTCCTTTTGTCAGAAAATTCCATTATTGTGCATTACCAATATAGTCTTCACTTTAAAAATGTTCCCCCCCCCCCAAAAAAAAAGATGTTTCCCACATCTGCCCATTTCAGCGTTGACCGGCACACTCCTGCCTTTCCTTCAGGTCTTTGTCGAAACTTTGCTTCCTCCTTGATCTTCTGGTTAGGTTAGTCCCCTCTGTCATATAACCTCACTCATGACACTGTTCATTTCTCACACTCATTGCTCTTGTAACAGCGGTGCTTTCTTTTTCTCTTTCTCTTTTTTGGCTGCGTTGGATCTTCACTGCTGCGCGTGGGCTTTCTCTAGTTGCAGCAAGTGGGGGCTACTCTTTGTTGCAATGCGTGGACTTCTTATTGCGGTGGCTTCTCGTTGCAGATCTCGGGCTCTAGGCACATGTGCTTCAGTAGTTGCAGCATGAGGGCTCAGTAGTTGCGGCATATGGGCCCTAGAGTGCAAGCTCAGTAGTTGTGGCACACGGGCTTAGCTGTTCCGCGGCATGTGGGATCTTCCTGGACCAGTGACCAACCCATGTCCCCTGCATTGGTAGGCGGATTCTTAACCACTGCACCACCAGGGAAATCCTAACAGTGGTGTTTTCTTTCCCCCGCTGGACTGCAAGCTACTTGGGCTATAGGGCAGTGCCTGTGTCATTTGCCATTGCATCCTCCACAAATAGCATGGTGTCTGGCATCTATTGGGCTCTCAATCAAAATAGGTAAATGAACAGCTTCAGTCTCCCTTTAATTAATGAGTATCTTTAGCACTTCTGCATTATAACCAAAAATTGCTGTACCCACAAACTACGGGAATATAGAACTGTGCTGTGATAGTAATACCTGTTATTGTATAACATTGTGCACTTTACAGACCTCTATTTTATTCATTATTTTATTCCATTCTTACAATTGCATTGTGAGGTAAGTAGGGTGGGCATTGCTGTCTTTTTTTAAAAAAACTTTTTATTTCATATTGGAGTATAGCTGATTAACAATGTTGTGTTAGTTTCAGTTGTACAACAAAGTGATTCAGTTATACATATACATGTATCTATTCTTTTTCAAATTCTTTCCCCAATTAGGTCGTTACATAATACTGAGCAGAGTTCCCTGTGTTGTACAGTAGGTCCTTGTTGGTTATCCATTCACACCAGTCAGAATGGCCATCATCAAAAAATCCACAAACAATAAATGCTGGAGAGGGTGTGGAGAGAAGGGAACCCTCTTGCACTGTTGGTGGGATGTAAATTGGTACAGCCACTATGGAGAACGGTATGGAGGTTCCTTAAGAAACTAAGAATAGTGTTGTCCTTATTTAAGGCATGAAGAAACCGAACCTCAGGCAGTTTTCCTCCACTGTAAGTGGTGAACAAAGACTCACTTCCAGGGCCTGTGCTGCTCCATGTCACCAGGCTACCTAATGGTTAGGAAGGCCTTCTACCAGGGTTTTCCTGTTTACTTCCAGAAACTTGATTTTACCTTTTGACCCAATTAATTTACAGTTGGGTCATTTTCTCTTTCTTCCCAATCAGTTCCACCAAGCCCCTGGCACAAAGTTCAAACCAGGGGCCTGGAGATAGTCTGAAACTCCACTCTGCTCAGTGTGGATTTCCCACCCGGCCCCCAAACATATGTTACCAATGTCAGTGTCATTTTCTGACCCTACACCGATGTGTGGCACCACGCCTCCACATAAAGGGCCCTCAACACAGCCTTTGTCGGGAGTTCATACCAGTTTTCTATCACAAAGTGAACGGGGAGACCATCTACTATCAGAAGACCCTGTAGAAATATCAGCAAAAAGGGACGTCTGTGACTGAATGCCCATCAGAAGGCTCTTGGTGACTGAATTTCCACTGATCGGTATACATGTTGCCTTTGCAATCCTGTTACTTGTCTGTGTCATGTTACTATGCGTGGACATAGGTGTTACTGAAATACAGTGTCTCATGGTTACTTTTTGGTTTCACTTCAATGAACAAGGCTGGGGAGCTGCTGAGGACTGTCATGGTTTGTGAGTATTTAAGTTACTATCGCATCCTCCTTAAGAAATCGCTTTGATAGTCAATTGCTGCTTTACCTGAGCCTGGCTTGGGTAGGACGGACAGATGACTCCAGCCTCCTCTTTTGCCTCTACTGAAGGTTCTCCAGGTGCCCTCCTCACTCCCCATGATGATTTTTTACGACCTGTAGCTTCTATGTCCTTTAAATATAGTAGGATCCCACGGCAACACAGGATTCATATACAGAGTTCGTCTCTTTTCCTGTTCCTTTGTATCCCTATTATGCAGCATATCTGCAATGCGTCTTGTTTGCAAGGTAGCTTCTATTGCCTTTTTAAATTAAGGGACTTGGATTGGTCTATAATTTGCTAGCAATTATAGTACAAATTAAACTGGATAAAATAGTTTTTAATAACCGTTAACATGTTGATTACATTTAATGTATCGCACATATTTACACATTAGAACTCAGAGAGTTAAATGAAACCTGCTCCCTCTCAGTTTTTCATTTTACTATTCACTAATGAAGAATAATCAAAGAAAATGATTTGGCTTCTGAAGTGATTGGATGTGAAAAGCCAAGTGTGAAGGACACCAACTTACACTACTTCTGTACTACCTTTGAAAGACCATTATTACTTCTCATGGGCAGTAGAGAAATAAATCAGTGGCTTTATCAATGCAATGGGGCAGTCACTTTAGTCTTAATCTGCCCTCTCTTCCATTCTGGGGAAGTACAAATTAACCAAATAATGTGTATTTTTTAGCGGCTATCAAAGGAGTGCTTCTTTGATAATGCACCTCGTGTTCTTCTTGCTTTCACAGTAATAAACGACTGGTGGCCTTAGTGCCCATGCCCAGTGACCCTCCATTTAATACCCGAAGAGCCTACACCAGTGAGGATGAAGCCTGGAAGTCGTATTTGGAGAACCCCCTGACGGCGGCCACCAAGGCGATGATGAGTATCAACGGTGATGAGGACAGTGCTGCCGCCCTTGGCCTGCTGTATGACTATTACAAGGTAGGACCTGAAGCCCCGCCTCCCTCCACTTTCTGCCTCCAGGGCCTCCCCTCTCTAGTGGGCAGAGGGGCCAGATTCTTCATCCCAGGCCAGAGAATGAATGGCATTGCCACACTCGCTCTGGAATTCAGTCTCTTCCTGTTCTCATTGCGTCTCTGCTTTCCCATCTATAAAGCACAACTTTACCACACCCCCCCCGAGGGAGTTTCCATTTTAGGATGATTATTTCTGTGCCCTCTGTTTACAAGCATACATATTACCTACGTTTAATTTCTACTTCATATCATATTGCAAATCCTTCTTTGTTGCCATTTTTACTTTATGATTTTTGGTGAATAAAGAATATTACATTGTGTGGCTGTACCATAATTTAGTCATTGCTCCGTTTTGGGGCATTTAGGTTGCTTTTATCTTATTTTATTTTTTAATTAAGTAATGAGAACCTTTAAAAAATTTTTTTTTAATTTAATTTTTTGGCTGTGCCACAAGCTTGCAGGATCTTAGTTCCCCGACCAGGGATTGAACCCTGGCCCTCGGCAGTGAAAACAGAAGCGAAAACGCCGAGTCCTAACCACTGGACCACCAGGGAACTCTCTAGGTTGCTTTTAGATTTTCCATTTTATAAGAAACATCAGGGTTTCTAGATTTTTCAGTTTTGTAAGGAATACACCAATGAATACTTTAGTGGTAGGCTTTTGCAGCAATTCCAAAATCTGTCTCCATTTGTTTCAATGAGTACTCTATTTATTTTGAAAAACCCTTAAAACAAAGTGAATGTAATTCGCTTGCATTACAAAAATACCTGCCATCGTTACTTTCAAAACAGGAGTATTTCAGGAAATCGAACCACAAACAATGGTCTGCCTCAACTATAAAGGACTGTATCTGGTATGACCTGCTCCCTTAGAACCAATGAAGTGTAAAAAATCCACAGGTATTTACTGAAGGAGGATATTTATTGCCTGACTTGATTGTAAACACTGTGGGCTTACGATGCTATTGGCACAAAGGTGAGAATGGCCGTGTTTATTTTGCTGGTTGGGCACAGTGAACTCTTTATTTTAGAATAAGAACTAAATCCCCCTCTTCCCCTCTCCCTCCATCATGAGGAAGTCACCCAGGAGGAATCATTTTTCTTTCGGTAAGCACCAGTCTCAGCTTCCTGTTTCCTCCCTGCTTCCCAGTTCCTGATTCCTCCCAGTGGTCTCGCTTCTGCAAGTTGTGTCGTCCCCTGGGTCTCTCCTAAACCAGGGTTTTTGTGCTTTACAACGATCGCCCACCACCATTGACTCTGGCACTGCCCCCGGGCCTATTTCTTTCACCAAAATTCTCTAAAATTACTCGTTCCTTTTCCAGCTTCTTCCCATTTTCTCTATTAAATCACTCAGGAGGGCTCCCTCCGTGGGGAGAAGAATGAAAGCCAAGCCAAGTTGTGCTTATTTAGGATGAAACACGAGGTATGAGTAACTGATAGGTTGGCCCATCCAGGCTACTTTAAATGAGAATATTATTAACTCAAATAAATGCATTTTTTATGGTTGGAAAGTGCTGGAGAAATATGGGAAAGGCATTCCACTGGTACCCTTGCCAGTCTAGGGTGATTTTTTTTCCCTTTACCAACGGAGCTGGAGTTGGCCGATTTCGACAGCTCTCTTGTGAAGCTGTACAACTCCCAACACGTCTCCTGACATAGCAAGAAAGGGCTTTAACTTTGGGAATTGGGGTCCAGATTGAAAGGATATTTTAGGGTCTAACCTCCATTCCATGTAAGCAGGGCAGTTTCCTACAATGAACAGGAATCGCCTGAAAAAAAACGAGCCTAAAAACAAAGATGGTTTCTTGGCAGGCTTTCCTTTCTTGTTTTCTTTGTTTGTGGTTGTTTTATATACTTTAATCCTTTTTGACTAAGGAGCTTATCTGAAAAACACAAGGATGAATTCTAAACGTTTTGGAGTCAAAATTTTCAGAATGTATTGAGGATGGTACAGAAACACAGAACTTACCATGTTAGACCGCTTCATGTTATAGGCTACCTCTTGAGGGTTCAGCTCTATTGGACTTTTGTGTTAATATGTAATGTTCAGAAATGGTCTCATCCCTAGAAAGGAATCACAAAGCAATTTTCCTTTATTATAAAAAATAGTTAAAACTCGACACCTTTTAAAAAAATATCTTTATTGGAGTATAATTGCTTTACAATGTTGTGTTAGTTTCTGCTGTACAACAAAGTGAATCGGCTATATGTATACGTATATCCCCATATCCCCTCCCTCTTGAGCCTCCCTCCCACCCTCCCTATCCCACCCCTCAAGGTCGTCACAAAGCATCGAGCTGATCTCCCTGTGCTATGCAGCAGCTTCCCACTAGCCATCCATTTTACATTTGGTAGTGTATATATGTCCATGCTACTCTCTCACTTCGCCCCCTCTTCTCCTTCCCCTGCTGTGAAAAATTGATACCTTTATCAATCTTTAAAATCTAGTAACATATTAAAGTGACCCTGATTTAATCACTTGGGTCATTACTACATTTTTTGGTAACTTTTATAACTGTGTTAAACAAATACGTTAGTTAATGCTTTTATAAGACTTTGAAGAAATACATTAAGATACACTTTGAAAAAATATATTTTTCTTATTTTTTAAATGTAGATTTTACTACTGTGAAATGGGTATAATTTCAGGCATCTGTATTAGATGGCAATTCTTTCGTATTAATGAAAAAGAGAAACACACCTTGAAACAAAAATCATTAGTAATTTAGGAAAGCAACGTATTTTATTTCCCACAGGTTCAGAGGATAAAGTATTAGTAAGTATGGTACCTGGATTACCTCTCCTCTTGCACGTTTTTAAGATGTAGAGGAAAGTTGACATACTGCTTTCTGTAAATATTTTGTAATGCAGAGCAGAGAGTTTACATAAAACTCAATTTGAGGATGCAGAGAAAAAGGAACCCTTTATACTGTTGACGGGAATGTAAACTGGTGCATCCACTATGGAAGACAGTATAGCAGTTTCTCAAAAAACTAAAAATAGAACCACCATAGGACCCAGACGTTCCACTCCCGGATATATAGCTGAAAAAAATGAAAACACTAATTTGAAAAGATACATCCACCCCAGTGTTCATAGCAGCACTATTTACAATAGCCAAGACATGGAAGCAACCCAAGTGTCCATCAGCTGACAAATGGATAAAGATGAGGTATATAAATACAATAGAGTAGTACTCAGCCGTAAAAAAGAATGAAATTTTGTCACCTGCAACATCATGGATGGACTTGGAGGGTATTATGCTGAGTGAAATGTCAGAGAAAGACAAACACTGTATGATATTACTTACATGTGGAATCTAAAAAATGAAAACAAACTAGTCAATATAACAAAACAGAAACAGACTTAAATATGTAGAGAACAAACTAGTGGCTACCAATGGAGAGAAAGGAGGGGGGGAGGGGCAAGATAGGGGTAGGGGATTAAGAGGTACAAGCTACTACGTATAAAATAAATAAGTTACAAGGATATATTGTACAATGCAGGGAATATAGCCGATATTTTATAGTAACTATAAATGGAATATAACCTATAAAAATTGGGAAACTCTATGTTGGACACCTGAAATTTCTTTTTTTTTTTTGCGGTACACGGGCCTCTCACGGTTGCGGACTCTCCCATTGTGGAGCACAGGCTCCGGACGCGCAGGTCCAGCAGCTATGGCTCACGGGCCTAGCCGCTCCGCGGCACGCGTCCCCTGCATCGGCAGGCGAAGGCTTTCTCTAGTTGCGGCGAGCGGGGGCTACTCTTTGTTGCGGTTCGCGGGCCTCTCATTGCTGTGGCTTCTCTTGTTGTGGAGCACGGGCTCTAGGCGCACGGGCTTCAGTAGTTGTGGCACGCGGGCTCAGCAGTTATGGTTCACGGGCTCTAGAGCACAGGATCAGTAGTTGTGGTGCACAGGCTTAACTGCTCTGAGGCATGCGGGATCTTCCTGGACCAGGGCTTGAGCTCATGTCCCCTGCATTGGCAGATGGATTCGTAACCACTGTGCCACCAGGGAAGTCCTGTTTTTTATGTATTTTAATGATTTAAATTCACATTATCTAGATGAATGAGTGAATAAGTGATTTAATAAATATTCATAAGCTGTTGAAATATTCATAAGCTGCTGAAATCAGCTTTTTATTTTTGGCTTATACATATACATTATAGAAAATTCAGGGAAGCTTAAAGAAGAAAGTGAAATTGCCTGTAGTTTTTCTGTCATATTATTTGGCATCATTTTCTCCATCGCTGAACGATTTTGAACATAAGCCTGGTAGATTGAAGAAATGATTTATACATATTACAGCAACAGCAGCAGCAGCAGGGAGGTGGGTTATGAGCAGAGAATCCAGTGAACAGTTCGTTGCAATAGTCCAGATAAAAAATGATGAAGCCCTAAAGTAAGACATGATGGTAGCTGTTCCTGGGTCAGCATTTGTGAGGTTCTCTCTGAATCAGCCGCTCTGTTTAGTCAGCCATACTGCATAGAGACAAAGCAGTATGTTCAAGAAATCACTGAGTATTTGTTTGAAGAAAAGCTGGCAACTGGGGCTTCCCTGGTGGCGCAGTGGTTGAGAGTCCGCCTGCCGATGCAGGGGATGCGGGTTCGTGCCCCCGTCCGGGAAGATCCCACATGCCGCGGAGCAGCTGGGTCCGTGAGCCATGGCCGCTGAGCCTGCGCGTCCGTCCGGAGCATGTGCTCCGCAACGGGAGAGGCCACAGCAGTGAGAGCCCCGCGTACCGCAAAAAAAAAAAAAAAAAAGCTGGCAACTGATTGTGTGTGTGTGTGTTTGTGTGTGTGTGAGATTTGGTGGGAGAACCCTCTAATTAGGGTCATAATATCTAAGCTGACTCTCAGATTAACGAAGGCGGAGTACAGAAGAAGGGCTTTGGGGAAAAGGATAATTGTATGTTGAGTTTGATGGGCTTGTAGGATGTCTAGGTAGGGATGTCTGACAGACAGTATTGTGGGTCTAGACTTGAGAATGGGGCCTGAGTTCAGAGGTCTCAGTTTCTCTAAGAAGGACAGTCTTTGGGAAGCCAAAGGTAAACATGGTTCAGCCTGGCCCAGATGGGAGCAAACCCAAAGGTTTCCCTTTGTCACATTGTGCCCAATACTGTAGACTGAGCAGGCTGCCCAGAGCTGGCATCAGTGCATCTTAGCAACACTAATGTTCACTTCCAGGAGTCTTTGGGAGTTACTAATACGTTTTAGTGTTCGGAATCCCTATTTCTCCTATTTCTTTGATTCTACTTTTTGCAGGCCATTTTGATTGATTCAGTCATTCTTTCAACAAGAATTTAGTGAGGGCCTGCTACATTCCAGGCGCTTGGGACATAACCATGCACAAGGTGGACACTCGTGGAGATTGTAGTCTAATCTTGGATATGAACATTTAGATGGTTCTCGAAGTAAGCTCACAAGTTAACTTAGAGAAGGCATGGGTAGGGTGGGGCAGGGGACTGTGTGATGGCTCTGCTGCAAGAAGGAGCATTGCATGGTCAGAGATGCTGTGTGGCTGTACACACAGCAGCGATGGGGGTGGCCCAAGTTGAGGCAGAAGAGTTTTTGGAGGCCATGTTCCTGAGAATAACGGGAAGCATTGAAGAGTTTTAAGTAAGAGCATAGTGGGGTCAGACTGAAAGATCACTCTGGATCTTCTTAATGGATCCCAAATGGATTTGCAGGGGTTAAGTGAAGGAGAGGAGAGACCAGTTAGGCTGGTGCCGTAGCTCAGGTAAGAGATGTCGGGGGCTGAACCAGGAGGCAGGCATCCACAGGGAAGTTGATGGATTTGAGTCATACGGGATTTAGTGTAATGTCTTCAAGCTTCATCCATATTATAGCATGTATCAGAATTTCATCTTTAAGGCTGAATAATATCCCATTGTACGTATATATCACATTTTGTTTATCCATTCATCTGTAGATGGATGGACATTTGGGTCATTTCCACTTTTTGGCTATTGTGAATAATGCTGCTATGAACATGGGTGTGCTGGGTATTAAAATTTTATGTTTATCTCTCGTTTTCAGTAGATGATAGGAGCTATGTTTTATTTCATTTCTGTCTAGCACTTAGTAATGCCTGCTACATTGTAGACCCTCATCATTGACATGTGAGTGAAGGACAATTGATTTACTTTATTTTTATTTAACCAATGCGTATAAATTCCCAGACACTCTAAGTGGCTTTAAAAAAATTAATTCATTTAATTTTACTAAACACCCTGTGAGGTATAGGACTACCATTATGCCTGTTTTACAGCTGAGGAAACTGAGGCAGAATTAGTAAGTGGTAGAGCTGAGATTTGAACCCAAACAATCAGGTCTAGGCCTGGACTCTTAGCCACCCTGCTATGTTGCCTCCCTTGCCCAGCTAGCTGGGCTTGCATACATATTCAGGTGAGTGGAAACCATCCATGAGGATTGCTAGTCCGGAATCCAGAAGAGAGATGCTTCTCATAAACGCTCTCTTATGTCAGAATAGTGAAGGCTGTGTTTTGAGTGCAAAGGTGTTTGGCTAGAAGGAAGATCTGGAGATTTAGGAAAAAACAAAATCAAAAACAAAAACCAAAAAACCCCAAACATCCAACCAGCCAAACCAATCTAAACCCACCATTCATGTGTTCGAGAACTATGGTAGAGATAGGTAAGCAATCCTTCATGCGGTAGGGCGGTCAGGTGATGTTCAGAAGCACAGCTGGTAGGGGCATCCCTTCTCTCAAGTAGCACTTTTTCAATAATCTTTCAGGTAATATGTTGGCATTGTGGTTGTGAAGTCAATAATAAAAGTGCATTAGAAGAAGCAGGGTGGGAGCCAGTTCGAGAGCTAGGGAGGGTAGGTGAAGGCTGGCTCAGGTATTAGATGGTGCTCCCTCACTGGACAGTGCAGCCCTCTACCCAGTTTGCCCCCCTGCATGTCAGCACCTGGAGTCCCTCATCAGGGTGGAGGGTCAGTCCCTGTTCCTTAACGGGATACCTGTTGTAGCTCCAAGATGTTTTCTGTCTGCTCCAGAGCACAGATCCTCTTACCCTTTCCCCTCATCCACTCCTAGCCGAGGTGGGGAGGGCTCGGAAGGTGCTCAGGTCCAGCGAGAGAGAGTTGCCAGTGTCAGCAGGGCATAGCAGAATCAGGATTGCTGTGGCCCTACGTTGATCATCACCCTTTTGTATCCGGTCTACTGGCATTGCCAATCAGCCTGGTTACCTTTAACCATCTCCTGGCCATTGCAAATTTGCCACCGTTCTCTGGAGAATGTTCCATTTCCTTTTCTTTGCTTATGCTGGTGTCAAGCTCTGCATCTACGTAAGTCTGACTGATGGCTGGTGATGTTTTCAGGTTCCTCGAGACAAGAGGCTGCTGTCTGTAAGCAAAGCAAGTGACAGCCAAGAAGACCAGGATAAAAGGTATGATAATATATACAGGAATATGCCTGACTCCCCAGATAACTCTTTTTCTATGTTTTTTGAAAACAATAGTATTAAACTATAACTTTTGTTCTTGAGAGGATATGGGAGTCAAGAAGCTTCATGTCTGCTACCTGTTTTTGGAGTCTGGAACAAAACTGGATCTCTCAGGCGGGAGAGAAAATTGTATTTTTTGGTTTTGCAATTCTGCAAAGGGCATTCAGTATCTTCCAAGGAGGCTGCAGATCCCGAGAGTTAGAGGTGATATACAGGCAAGATAGCCTACTGCTGGCGTGAACTTTTCTGTCCGTCCGATGGCTGTATGACTGTGATGAGGCCCTTGAGGGAGTGAGACATTTGAAGATCGTCTTTGATAAGGGGGAGAGGAAGGATGCCAGGCTGATCTCAGTTCAGGGAGGAGCTGGTAGGGAGCCATGGGTGGCAGAGGACACTGTTGGGGTGCAGGGGCAGGAAAGATGTTAGGAGACCATAGGTCATACTCCTTTCCTTCAATCCTGAGTTAAGAACCAGTTGAAAAACAAGAAACAGACAGATTGAAATTAAAAAGGAAAAAAAATCAGTTTTACTTCTGATGAAGCTAATTAGAGAATGTGATTTTGAACCAGCAATTTGTAACATTTCAGTCCTGACTTAGATATGGCTATTCATCCAGTCCCAAGCAGGACTTCAGGCCTCCCTGAAGGGACAGGCCACTGATGGCATGGCCGCGGTGACTGGAGTGTCCCCTTTCTTTGGCCAAGATGATCCAGACATAAAGAGGGAACCACAAGGGTCTGAACCACCTTGCTCAGCTACTTCTCCCAAACTCACCAATCAAATACATCTCTTCCCCTGCAGAGGGATGGAGAAGCCACAGTGCTTTTCTGTTGGGGGGTTTTTCCACTTGGAAACATGAAGCCAGGAGAAATGAAGTCTCCTGCTAAAACACATGTCAGAATCTTTCCTGGCCTTGATAGGAACTGCTTGTGACATTGTGATCTTGTCATACGACTAGCAGTGGGGGCCACCCCGCCCATCAGTGGCCCTGTGCTGTGTATCACCTCTAAGGCACATCCCCAGCAGAAGATCAAGGCTGTCTGCATCTGATGTGTGGTTCCACAGGTTGTGTGGTTGATGTGTGGTTCCATCTTCTGATGCTCTATGCTGCTTTGGGGCCCTGGGCACTAGTGAGTAGCAGTGATGACAGGGAGAAAGAGGCTGATGCTCTTCAGGTCCTATAACTTTTCCACCATCCAGCCAGCATTTATTAGGCTAAGCAAGTGCTGTCTCCTAAGGCCTATACCAGTAATCACAGAAAAGTTGGGGGAGGCGCGGGGGGTGGAGGTGGGGAGGGGAACGAATCTAAGATGTGTGCTCTGTATGCATCATAATAGACAAAAGAGCCCATGTTTTGGTAAAGTATCTTCTAGAACAACATTAAAGACTGATAGTCACTCATTGTATTTTAAAGGCCATTTTTGTGATATCAATGGAGTGCCTTAAAAAAAAACTGGCAGTGAGGTATAGACAAACCACCTTGTATGGACTGATTATGACTTAGTAGGCTTCCGGTTGAATGTAATTTGGAAGGATATCATTTGGTCTGCAATGTACTCATGAATTAAGGTGCCATGTGCTGACATGGTATCATTACAAATGTTCGTATACAGAAGTCGCCACTTTGAAAAGTAATCTCAATGTCATGACCCCCAATTTTTTAAAAGTATATTTCAAGGAACCATTCTTAGCCTTGCATTTTTTTCTCACATTATAATGTTTGGTTCAATTTTGAATTCTATTGCAGGTGAGTCAGTATATCTCACAATAATTCTTACTTTGTTCTGATCACCCATTTTTGGGATGACTTCCAGAGTTCTCTGGCATCAACTTTTAAAGTCGGTGCTATTCTATAGAGGCACAGTTACACATTATAGGATGGTGCCGAGTCTGTTGTTCCCTTGTCTCATGGTAGTGCCGATTCAACTAGATTTGCACAACTCTATTAGTTTGCTTATTTATTTGTTGATAAGCACACCAAAAATATTTTGACGTGTGTTTCTTGTTTAGAATCCAAGAGTTTTGCATGAATTAAAGACTTAAGAAATTTGGACTGAAGTGGACTCTAACTGTAGAGGAGTTGATTAATTCTGAATATTTTGGCAAAGCCAGTAAGACCGTGCTTGTGCAAAGCCCAGAAGTGCTGGAAGTGGATAATTGCTTTGGTAGCTAATGAACGTAGACCAACCGTCCTACACCCGACTTGCAGGACATTACCCACAAGTATTAGCAGTTACTCCTCCACAGAAGGGTCCCGGATAAAATGAGTTTGAGAAATCCTGGGTTACAGTTAAACAAGTGGAGGAACCCTTGGGGGCCTTTACTGTGTTCACGACTGTGACCCACCAGGGTGGTCTTGTTTAGGCAATTTTTTTTTTTTAGTACTGATTTTATCATGGTCTCCTTTCTTTGAGGAACATACATTAACATTCTATGCAATGTTCTCAACAATAAGGTTTAGGGAATACTGATATAAATGGGTGGCCTGGGTTTTGGCATCATCAGCTTACTGGATTCAGATTGAACATAATTTCTAAATTTTCACTGTGTCTTAGATGCAGATTCATTGTATTGATATAGCCACAAAAGCAGGTTATTACTTAAAGCCAGAATGTTTATAGACTCAGATTTCATTCTTCAAAGCGTTTGTTTCTAGAATGATTTCTGCAGGTCTGTGACTGACTCAGAGAGGTCCAGGTATTTTTCTGTTGGCTTCGTTCATGTGGAGCCATTCTTTCCTCAAGCTTCACTTTGAAGTTTTATTTGAAAAATCAAAGCTAAAAATACCGAGTCCTGTTTGAGAGGCAAACTCAGAGGCGACTGGATTTCCTTTACAGAGAGGAGCCACGAGAGCCCAATTCTTGGAAGAACCAATTTTATTCAAATATTTCTCTCGATGAGAGATGGCTGTAAGCCCCAGAAAGCACATGCTAGTTTTAAAAAAACAGACACTGGGGACGGGGCTCCATGCAAAACGTGCATTTTCTCTCTGTGTCATTCAGAATAATCTATAAATAAGTAAGAGGTGGCCTCAAATCTTACTGACCACAAGGGCTTTGCTAGTAAAATCATTTTGCTATCAATAACGCTCTTTTCGTAAGAAGTTTCTCTTTGCTTCTGCTCTCTCCCAGAATTCTATAGTATAGATGAAAGTATTTCATCTTATACTGGCAAGAATTAATCTTCTGAATCCTTTCCTTTCTCTTTGTAGCACGGGAGGTCTGAGATCTGAGAGATCTTGTCTTATGTAAGCCCAGTTACACCACTTCCTTAAGCCCTGAAAGTAATTCAGTGCTAAGGACATCAACGAGCTGATGGTACTTCTCAATTTAGTGAAAATATTCTAATGATAAATTCTCATTATATTATTATTATTATTATTATTATTATTATTTTTTGCGGTACGCGGGCCTCTCACTGTTGTGGCCTCTCCCGTTGTGGAGCACAGGCTCCGGCCGCGCAGGCTCAGCGGCCATGGCTCACGGGCCCAGCCGCTCTGCGGCATGTGGGATCCTCCCGGACCGGGGCACGAACCCGTGTCCCCTGCATCGGCAGGCGGACTCTCAACCACTGCGCCACCAGGGAAGCCCTCTCATTATATTATTTTTCCTGCAAGGAGTTTAGCCTGCAGAAGAGTGAAAAATATTCTTTCCACTCTCTTCCTTTAACTTATTGTCCTGCTGCCACCTTTTTTCAAAAAAGCTACTTAAAATGTTTTCTTCTGAAAGCTTTCAAACATACCAATAAATAAAGACGATGGTGTAATGAACCCCCAGATACCCGTCCCATCCTCCGGGTTCAGCACTGATAACTTTGTGTTACACCTGCTTAAACTTGACCTTTTCTTTCTTTCTTTCTAAATTTTTATTGCAATAGTATTCAAAATAAGTTCCTGGCTTACTTTATGTCATTTCACCTCTAACAACTTATGATTTGTATCTCTAAATGAAGACATTTTATTACCTAATCTTAAAATCATCATCACATCTAGGTGAGTTAACAGTACTTCCTTCACATCAGCTACCTCTCAGTTCATATTCAGTTGTCTCAAAAATCCCACTGCCTCCTAAGTGCCTTTTTGGTTTTTTAGATCAGGATCCAGACAAGATCTGCTAATCCTATTTGATTATGTCTTTTAAGTTTCTTAACCTAGAACAAGTCTCCCACTTTTCTTTCTTTTTTCATGCCTCTGACTTATTGAAGAAACCAGGTCAGTAAGATGTGTGACATTCTGGTTTGTATGATTGTTTCTTTTCCGTGTTGTTTAAATTATCCTTCCAGCTGCCATATATCCTAAGAACTGGAAGCTGTATGTAAAGGCTTGCTTGATTTAGAGTCAGCTGTTTCGGGGGGGGGCGTGGGCAATAGCACTTTCTAGGTGGGGCTCATTGCATGATACCAGGAGGCACATATGTCTAGTTGTCCTCCTTCTCGTGATACAAAGATTCATTGCATTCCATTGTAAAGTTGGCCATCAGCTTTCCCCCTAATGCATTAGCCTCCGCTGATTCTTGCTTACATCAGTTATTAGGAGTTGCAGAAGGGTGATGTTTCTAATTCTGTTCTGTTGCGGGGTGTGCGTTTAAACACACAGAAACTGTCTTGGCACCAGTGGAGCCCAGAGTAGTTTGAGTGGAGGAGAAAACCGAGTGCAGGTCCTAAAGACTGTTCCAGTGAACCTTTCCCTAAATCAAGACCACCTGGAGAATTCAAAACGGGAACAGTATAGCACGAACGTCTCTGAGAGCCCAGCCGTCATCCCCATGGCGGGAATCACAGTGGTGAAGGCCGAAGATTTCACACCGGTTTTCACGGCCCCACCTGTGCACTATCCCCGGGGAGATGGTGAAGAGCAACGCGTGGTTATCTTTGAACAGACTCAGTATGGTGTGCCGTCCGTGGCCAGCCATAGCACCTACCTCAAGGATGATCAGCGCAGCACCCCGGACAGTACTTACAGCGAGAGCTTCAAAGACGGAAACACAGAGGTGAGTCCCTGGCGCTTACATCAGCGGCTGGAACTGAAACCCAAAACCACCTAACTTGTTTTCTCTGTTGGCTTTTTAAGTGGGATGAGTGAATTCAACTGTGAGTTTAAGCTTTTGTTTGTTTGTTTTTTTTAAACATGCCTGCATCTTTCTTCATAAACGGGTTTTATTAGACCATTGGCCTAGGTGTGTGGAGGAATATTTCCGTTTTCCTGCCTCTTAGATGACAGATTCCTTGACTGGTTTTAGTTTTAGTCTTAAAATTAACTATTTTTGAAGAGCAAAGGGCTGTTTGCATGGAAATTTCCTACTTTGTAAAGTTTTCACTTTGACCTCTTCTAGTTTGTAACTTTCCAAATGGCAGCCAAAGATGTTGCCTGCCCATCACTTTTTAAAACAATATAACTCTTTAAAGACCTTGTCTGATTGAATACTCAAGAAAGAATTGGTATTATCAATAACCAAGTGTGTACATGTATGTGTACTTTGTACCTTACAAATAGATTCTATGTATTCTTCTCGTGTGCCCAGAGAACTTACAGAAGCAATGATCTTTGCTTGCTTGTTTGTTTTAAATTCACAGGTTTGAAAATTTTGCTACTTGTTTACAATGATGTAACCAACATCAGAATCAGTGGAAAGTTTCCTCATCCTAAAAGTTTGAATTTGAAGCCCTCCCGTCTCCTCTTGCTCATGGCAGACACTAATCTGCCTTCTGTCACTATACTTCTGCTTTTTCTAAAATTTCATATAAATGGAATGGTAGAGTATAGAGTCTTGTATGTTGTCTTCTTTCATTTAGCAGAATCTTTTTGAGATTCATCTATGTTATTGCTTGTGTTAATAATTTGTTTCTAAAATTGCTGAGTAGTATTCCATGGTAAGCATGTATCACAATTTACTCACCAGTTGGTGGACTTTTGGTTGTTTCTAGGTTTTGGCTTCTAGGGTTTGGCTATTATGAATAATGCTGCTGTGGACATATGCTTTCATTTGTCTTGTGTAAATACCTAGGACTGCACTTGCTGGGTCATGTGGTAAATGTATGTGAAACACTGCTGACAGTGTTTCAAGGTGGCTGGAACATTTTTATTCTCACTAGCAATACATGAGGGTTCCCCTTTTCCATATCCTTGCCCAAACTTGATATTGTCCATCTTTTTAACTGTTGTCGTTTTAGTGCATATGTGATCGTGTCTCATTGTGGTTTAAAATTACATTTCTCTGGTATCTAGTGATGTTGAATATTATTCCGTGTGTTTATCTGACCATTCCTATAACTTCTTTTGTGAAATGTCTGTTCAAATAATTTGTCCAATTTTTAAATTGGGTTATTTGTCTTCCTTTTATTAAGTTGTAAGAGATCCTTAAATAGTGTAGCCATTTATCAGTTATACGTTTTGCAGTTTGATAGCCACTTTATTTTCTTAACTATGTTTTTCAAACAGCAACAATATATAATCTTGATGAAGTCCAGTTAATCAATATTTTCCTCTTAGAGTTTATGCTTTTGATGTGCAGTTTAAGAAGTCTTGGCCTAACGTAATGTCACAAAGATTTCTCTTGTTTTTTTTCTAGACATGTAATAGTTTTACATCTTACGTGTAGGTTTATGATCCACTTTGAGATAATTTTTATATCTGGTGTTAGAGAAGGGTTGAGTCCCATTTCTTTCCCACATTGATATCCAGTGTTCCAGCATCATTTGTTGAAAAGAAAATATTCTTTCCATTTAATTGCCTTGGAATCTTTGTAGAACAACAATTGCTGATATAATTGTGAATCACCTCTCCAATTTTTGACCCAGAATATGTAATGCTTTTCTTCTTGTCTTTAGTTCAGGTCAGCTGCTTCAACATTTAGGAGCAGTGCCTTTACATTTGAGTCGATGGTCACTGACATCTCATTTTGCACTCCACCTGGGTCAATAAAAGACAATGACAGAAGGAGAAAACTTGTGGTTTCTTATTTCTTAAAGAGGAGTGACTGTGGTGGCAGTATACCAAATACTTGCAGCCCGATACCCATTTAGTTGCCAATGGGACAAAATTCAGCCACCTGAGGCTGAAATTGTAACCCTAAATAATCATATTTTAAAATAATAAGCATTTGATGAGCACTTACTTTGTGCTGGGCATCATTCTAAGTGATATATACTCATCTAATCCTCACAAAAACCCTATGAGGTACTATTATTGTCCTCTGTGTTTTCCAAATGAGGATACTAAGGCACAGAAAGCATAAGGACACCCATGGTCGCACCGTAGTAAGTGGCAGAGATGGGACTTGCCACAAGCTGTCAGGCTCCAGGGCCAGTGTCCTTAGTCGTTACCTCTACACTCAGAGACACTGTGGGACCTTCCAGTTCTTAGGAGCTCCATAACTGAACATAGTGCCTTGCTTAAATGTGTTTGTTTTCTTAATGAGGATTCTTTGTCTACGTCATTAGCTATTTCTCATCTTTCATGTGAGAATAAGAGGAACAAAAGGAACCAGCTCTCTGCAGCGTTGGGAGGGCCTCACAGTAGACAAGTCACACTAGCAGCCCTTCTTTTCCTGGCCTGTCATTCCTGAGTGCCTGCTGCTTTCTATGAAATTGGGGAATGAGCAGAGTGAGACACAATAAATTCCCTGCCCTTACCAGACTTCCATATTTCTTGGGTTCTGGTAGCTTTATATCAAACCTTCAGTGTCCTTGTAATAAAAATATTATCTTAAAGTTTGCTCCTTTAGCTTCCTGTGTGGTGTGGCTTAAAAGAGTCAACAACCTGCTGCTGCTGCTGCTTTTTTTTTTTCAAACTGAGCAAGGGATCTCGTAGGGTTTTTGGTATTGTTGAATATTTGATTTGCCCTCAAGCAGTCAGGGGTGCTTCTGTAGAGAAAATACATAGGATTTTCTGTAGAGAAAATACATAGGAATGTGAGGTGCATACTTTTTCACTAAAGGGTTGCTACTAATGTTTTTCTCACACAGTGCAGAAATATTACATTAGTCACAGAAGAGTCCGTGGATGTGGTCCAATGTCAGCGGAACCATCATGCTATTTGGAGGATGTGTTATGAGTTGTGTTTGTGTTGTAGGTAAAGAGGCTTATGAAAGGACGCAATTGTATTTGGGGTTTTATTTTGGAGTGGATGAGAAAGCAACTTACCAGAAACTAAATGTGAAAATTATTTCCACCGAGTTTGGTTTAGCTGCTCTCCTAGTCTTGGAAATCAGTGTTTACATTGCATATTATAATTCAATCTGATGTAAATTAAATGGAATGATTTATCATGATCTTTAGCCATGGCACTGTCAACTGGTTATAAGATCAGGTGAGCTCAGAGTGATTTCACCAAGTAAATTTCACTAAGGAAAACTTGTCTAAAACCTAGCACTTCCTTTAGGCAAACTACTAAAATGTCTACTACTTGTTGAATTTCATTTGCTATTAGAGATGGCTTCTCTCTCTCTCTCTCTCTCTCTCTCTCTCTCTCTCTCTCTCTGTGTGTGTGTGTGTGTGTGTGTGTGTGTGTGTGTGTGTATAGTGATACCAGGGAAGGGAGCAGTTTGGTTCAACTGAGGCTAGTAGCATTAAAAAGTTCTTCAATGAATTTATTTTAGCTAATTGGATTTATATTTTATTTTGTGTCCTCTTCGTAGTAACATTTGGTAAATATTTGTTTATACTGGGTGTCAGGCATTGTGCTAGACGTGGGAGTAGAGGGCAGGAGGTGTGCCTTGGTTTCTGCGCTCTAGAAGGTTACTATCTATATAGCTGCTATTTATTGAGTACTACTGTGTGCCAGGCACTGTGGCTTACACACTTTGTTTCTAATATTTACTATACCACAATGCTGCAAGGAAGGTATTACTCTTCCTACTTTACAGATGAAAAAACAGATTCAGAGAGGTTATGAACGTGCCAAAGGTCACACAGCTAATAAGCAGAGTATAGTTGATAAATATAAAACAGGGTAGTATTAACACCTAGAATGCTTTTAGGAAACATGTAAACCTTGAGAGATGCAAGAAAGAGTTTTTATAGAAAAATCATATGTATTGTCATCATAAGAATCAAAGTAGAAGAAAGAATTTGCTATTCTGTACTACAATTTTGTATGTCAGCTAACATAAGTCTAACTGTATGAATGAAGGAACACCAGATCTCAGTGATTTGATACACTAAATGTTTATTTCTTGCTAATAATAATCTTGATAGATGTCTGCAGACCTGTCTTTTGATCAGGAATCCAGGTTCCCTCCATCTTGTGACATTACCATCTCTATATGAGGCTTCAGGGTCATCCCAGCTGGGGAAGAGAGACCATGGAGATGGCACACTGAGTTGTAAATACTATGACCTGGAAGTAATGCTATTACCCCTGTTCACACTTCATTGGCTAGAACCAGTCACATGGTCTTAACTAACTGCAAGAGGTTAAGAGAAGTCTAGTTTTCCCATGTGCTCAGGAATGAGAATGATTTATGTGTGAGCACCAGATATCTCTACCATGTATTTCATTATTTAGTCCCTGGTATGTTATTTGTCAAATTAACATAGTTTGCAGAGAATCCTGAAATAAAATCAAAGAATTATTATTTGTTATACCCAACAGACGTATGATGGTTATATCCCTTGATGTTATATTCATCTGTAGGCTGATACTGGAAGTTACCCTGGATCTAAACCCTGTCCAACTAATTTTTGACTAATTTTTAACTGATAGTTCATTTCCCACCACAAACTTAAAGAATAAAATCTCAAAGATGTTGATTCAAGTACTGAAATGGAACATGGCTTCACTTTTTGATCAGTGCAACCAATTTTGCTGTTTTTATTTTAAATACATGATATAGTGCATATGGTACCACTAAAACTTCTATTATTTTATTAGTTTGTTTTTGCACCAAGCAAAATTTTGGAAAATCCTTAGCATACACATTTTATACTTGGGAAGGATTTAGGTTTCTCTATACATAGTCAAATTTTACGAGATTGGATGGCCTGTTATTAGGTTCCTAGGGGCCATCTACCCAGCTCTTGACTAGAATGGCTCTGGAAATCCCCGTTCTGTTAAAGCTGTTACGTTGCAGCACCATTTGATGCTTTGATCACTGTTGTCTCTTGAAAATGCTCTTAGCTTTATGTCCGCAGCTTCAGTTATCATCTATGTCCTGAATACTTTTCACATTATTTTTCTCCAGCCCAGCTCTCTCTGAGCTCCAGACCTTTATGTTCAACTGCCTGTTTGACTCTCCACCAGCTCAAAATCTGACTTACATCTTCCCTCATGTTCTCTGCTCTAGTGGAGTGGCACCACCGTCCTTCTGGTTTCTCAAGCAACGAGGATTTTTTTTCTTGATGCTTTGCTCTATGATAATCCCCATCTAAGTCATTACCAGTTCTATCAACTTCACTTTCTTAAATCTCTCAGAAATCATTTATCTCCATTCTACTTCCACCGTACTGACCCAAGCTGTCATTATCTCTGGCCTATAATACTGTCCACTTTTGTGCACTGTACCTGGGATGGTCTTTTCAGAATGCTAATCTGATCATGACACCCTCTCACTGAAATCCCATTGTTTTCAGGATTAAGATCTAAATCTTTAACGGGTTTACAAGGCCTTGCACGTTCTGTTTCTCCTCCCCCTTTCCCACCTCATCTTGCACATCTTTCCCCCTGGTGCTCTCTGCTCTGAGCATCATTCAGTTCTGTGAACCTGATATGCTCCCTCCTGCCTCAGGACCCATGTGCCTGCTACTCCCATGTTTTAGGACTGTGCTGTGCAATACTGCAGTCACTAGCCACCTGTGGCTATTAAAATTGAATAAAATTAAAAATTCAATTCCTCAGTCCCACTATCTCCATTTTAAGTGCTCAGAAGGTGCATGTGGCTAGTGACTACCATATTAGTGAAGATATAGAACACTTACATCTTTGCATAAAGTTCTATTGGACAATGCTATTCTAGAATATTCTTTACTACCTTCCACACCCTTCCTCCTGTGTGACTACCTCAAGGAAGCCTTCCCTGTCCTCCCCTTTCAGTTCCTAGTAAAGTCAGTTTTCTTTGTATCTAAGTCCACCAGCCAAAGACTACCGTGAACACATCTGTAGTCAAAGTTACATTTATTTAGCTTGCTTCTGCAAGGGGCCCTTAGGGACAACTCAGCAAGAGAGAGTTGGGAGGAGCTCTTGGTAGTGTTTGGGCTTGTTCTGGATGAGTCTAAGAAGGGATCATGGAAGTGACAACCAGCTCTGGATTTCATATGTCAAGACGTTGGGGCAGTCTAGAAACTGGGTACCTCGGTCGTCATTGTTCAGGAGATGGGATGAACAAAGCAGGGCTGAGGCTATCTTTGCCAAGAAGGCATCAGTCCCGCAGAAGGGGGGGATGTTACTCACTTTTGTACCTGTGTTATTGTCTTCTGGGGTTCTGTTGGGAGCATTGCTTATCTTCTGTTGGCCTTGTCCGTGTGCTGTTGGAAGCAGTACATTCTGTTAGGAGCATCAAAGCTGATTGTCAGTGGGACTGATTTTTACTTTCTCGGTGGTGATGTGCTCTCCTAGAACTCTGTTGTTCTTCTTAGAGTGCTTGCACACAGTTTGTAAATTTTTAAATTAATGATTATTTGACTAATATTTTTCATCTACTAGGTCGGAAGCTTCATGATAGCAGGGACTGCTTCTCTTTTTGTTCACTGTGGTATCCGTAGCACCTAGCGTGGTGTCTGATGCAAAGTAGATGCTCAGCAAATATTTATTGAGAGAGTGGATGAATGAATAAATGAATCATAAGACCTAAAAAATTGGTGGCTGATCAAAGACATGGAATTATTTTGCTATATCTGATTTTACCACTGTTAAGAATCATTGTCTTTTCGTAGTAGATTCTTAGTAGATGTCTCTTTCCTCCCACCCAAGGAAAAAACTAGAATTCTAATATTCAAAATTTAAATATAACATTCTAATATTCCTTGATGTCTAAAGTCCTTTAAGGATAATCTAGAAAATATATGTTACCATACTTCCTTTACTACCATTTTTCTCAGGCCAAATGATTAAGAAATGTATAGATGCACTGCATCAAATCACAGCAAGGTATGGTGATGTTGACTGTCTGCCTGCCTTTTGGCATCCTACAAATTATATTAAAATGTTTCCAAACAGTTGTGGAAACTTGGTAATTGTAGTCAGAATGGCCTGAGTGTTTTGGTTCTAATTCTTTCTTTTTTTGACCAAAATTTTTTATTTGACTAAATTCTATTTCATGCGTAAGCATGACAGTCTCTCCTGTTTATTAGACTTCGGCAACAAAAAGAAAACCAAGCAGCCTTGTACAGCAACAGTGAAAATGCCAAGGGTGAGGGTAGCCTACAGTTTTACTGTAGGATAAATATATATATATATATATTTTAAAGGCCTCTCTCCCTTTGGCCATATCAACAATCATTTAGGGCCATCATAAAGGATTGTGATGTTTTCCAGGTAGAGTATACATTTAATTTTTTTAATTATAAAGATAATGTAACCAAATTAAGGATAAATGTTTAAACTCAGAAAAAGTAATATCCATGTCAGTAATATGTCAACTATTTTAATTTTTTCATAGTTCTTGTTTACATGCTCATATTATTGGATTAAGAGTTTTTATTTGTTAGCCCATAGTTGACAGTCTCTTTGAGTCTGAATGGTTGTAGTATATCACATCTTCTTATATCCCCTGGGACATTAGAACCCTAGAATGTATCAGTCCAATATGTTTTAGTAAGCAAGTCTATCCTCAGGCTGCACGGTGCCATGGCATGGGCAATGAACTCATTCAGGGCCTTGCTTATTAATACTGGTTCACCATGTGTTGTTACGGGTTACCACATATTCCTTCAAAGAAGACCTTTGAAATGCATCTTCTCTGTCTTGGAGTCATTTCCTTAAATGCTCTTTTCATCATGCTACCTTCCTACTCCAAAATTTCCTAATTCTTAAATATATTAAGGATCAAAGCAAAGTTCACAACAGCCATAAAATCTTTCCAGAATTTTGCTGATCTTCCTTTCCTGGTAATGTTCATTCTGTACTTTTCCAGTCAGGACACCTGAATAAATGAATGGATGAATGCTTTAACATAGACCTTCATATCTAGTCATTTGCTGTATTTCAGTTTCTTTTGTTGTCATTTTTCATATGAATTTCACCTCCTCAACCAATTTTTATATATTTGAGGCAAAGAAAGTGCCTTATATATTTTCTCTATGTCTCTTGGCACCAGTCAGATGCTGAAGCCCCAGAATATTTCCATTTAATGCCTTGTTGATGGGTTGACTGATTGCAAAAGAAACACAAATCTGTATCTTTGAGTCTCTGTCATGATTAATAAACTAGTTAACAAATACTTGTCAGATGCTCCTGGGCTGCGTTTGGGTAAACTTTGAAGGGCAAACTGTCTTCTCGGATCCACGGAGTTTATAAGACTGTATATAAAGAAAGATCCTACGTATGTACATATAAAGTGTGAGGTGAGGGCACACTGCATTCAAGTGACGGTGGTTAGAGATTGTGAAGGAAATTTGGAAAGTAGCTGTGAGTGAACCTTTCCTGAGAAGGAAATCTTTGCATTACTTGTCAAAGAATGGAAGTTTATGGCAGAGAAATGAAAGACAAGACGGTTGTTTCTTAGAAAGAGACACTAGAAAAAAGGCCACAGCGGAAGGTCCAGATCTGTGTGGTCCACCAAGTGCTTTTTCATCAATATTCTATTATATTTACTTTAGGATCAAGAGTTAGGGCTTTTGGTGCATCTACTTTTAAGAGGGTTCTAAAATGTAGCAAAGTGCATCCTACTTGCACTAAATATACAACAGCTGAATGTCTGTGGACCCAAGCCTTTTCACATGTAATACTAAGACTTAGAATTTCCCTCCGCAAAATTACTTTTAACACTCTTGTGATAATGAAGATCTTAGAGAAGGGCATTGAGTACGATCAAGTGATTACTATAGAACAGAATTTTTGTTGTTGTTGTTGTTGGAAGAAGAAAATGTCAGTGTGAACTTCAGTTTCACAATTTTGCCTGAGTATGGAACAGAATTTAATACACATAGATAGAGCTCACCACGTTCCAGGAACTGTTTGTAGTACTTTATCTCTGCTAATGCATTTAATTCTTCTCATCACTATAAGTAGGCATTTTACAGCTGAAGAGAATACGGCACTTGCCTCAGTCTACATAGGCAGCAGGTAAAAGAGCTAGAACTTGACCCTAGAACTTGACTCTAGAAAGTCTTGCTCCAAAAACTATGCCCCAGAGCTCTCAATACTGCTTTATGATACGCTATGTGGCTTCTCTGTAATGAGTATTCCGTTACCTCAGAATTTGTGGCTTTTGGAATAAGTGTTGGAGATAAGAAAATGGAAGAGATGTTTACATGTTTGAGGAAACAGTTTCCAGTACCTGGAGACAATTTAGGAACACCTGTGGACATGCCAATGTGGACATGTGAATAAAAGCACAAATGCATTTTCTGTTGAAGGTAATTCTCAGTGTGCAGGTGGTATGCAGGTTCTATACACAAATGGTAACTATTTTCACTGTAGTTGAAAACATAATACCAAAAAAATGTGTAATTTTCTTTTCTAAAATGAGGATAAAACAGTTTGGATACATTTGTCACTTTTTTTTTTCTGCATAATGACTCACTATTTGTTTTAATTTTGATGACTTTTAAATTTTGCAGAAATTCCGGAGTGCTTCAGTTGGGGCTGAGGAGTACATGTACGACCAGACATCAAGGTAGGTTACAGGAGCTGCCCCTAGAAACTGATGAACTGATAACTGTTTAAATGTATCGTCAAGTTATACTTTTACACCTTTAAAAGAAAATTCTTTTCTCTCCACAATGACTTCTAAATTACTGTTTCCAGTCTTGATCAATTTTCTGAGACCTACCTGTACCCTTCCTTTGTCCTTTTGCTGCTAGACATCCCTTCTTAGGTGTTCCTCTAAACCTCAGGCACTTGGGCCTCCAGCACAGCATGTACGTGTCTTTTCCTCTTCTTTCCTTCCTTCTTCACTTCCTTCACATCTGTTCTTCCACTTTTATTTCTTGTTGTGCCTAATGTTGCCATCCTCCCAGCCACACACTCCAGAGGTGCAAGGTGCTTGCCTTCCTGCTGCACGTTCATGGCATTTGCCAAGTGCTGGATGTCCTATTCCCCCTGTCCTGTCTTTTCCAATTTACTCTTGTGTGTATGCTTCTGAGCTGTTGCAACATAACAGGTTGCCCTGCCAGCACTTTCTTTTCCCTTCCATTCCACTTTGGACATTTCTTCCTACTAGCTGTCACAGACTTTGGTGCCTTCCATCTTCCAGCAATGCGATAGGGATTGAGGATAAGTTATAACCTGTCCTTAAAAGAGGCCCATAGACTTTTGCAGGAGACCTGTGTGATGTCATACAAATTGCAATACATTTGCAAAATGATGAGTCCTGCTCATCTGCAGAGATACATAAATAGACAACTGAGATGACCTGCAGGCCTGGGTGTGTGTGGGTTGTGAGTGGGATGGGACCAGAGGAAAGCTTTACAAGAAGCAGCATTTGAACTGGATCTTGATGGATTACCAGGAGTTTTCCAGGGAAAGAAGGAGGATTAAGAACATTCTAGGTAGAGGGGCCACATGTTCAAAGTCCCTGTTCGTGATCATGCCTGTAGACAGGAGAGAATGGCAAGGATGAATTAATCCATCCCATTTACAAAACTTATCAGTGATTTCACCATTTCAGACAGAATAAGACACCAATTCCTTATGAAGGTAGTTGGGGCCCTCTATGTGCTGGTCCCTTTTTACTGTAAACCTTGTCCCCCACTGTATTTCTTGGCCCTTTACTTTTACATGTATGGCCCTCTTCCCCTCTCTCTGTTTCCGCTTGAAGCCCTCCTGCCCCTTCAGGGTCTCGCTCCAGCCTCAGGCTCCCCAGTCACCCTCTCCAGATTCTCCCAGCCAGAATTTGGGTGTGCAGTGGTGGTGAAGGGTAGGGGAGAGGCAGAGAAGATAAAGTTCCAAATCACCTTCTAAAACATGGAAATACATGTATAATTTGCATGCTGTCAATCCAGATAACCATGCAGCCAGCTATCAGGCCAGTGAAAAGAGCAATGACCTACCAGTCATGTGACCTGGTGTCTCTTTCTGCTTCTGTCATTGTCTCCAGGGGTGAGCAAGTTTCTCAGTCTCTCCTCAGCTGTGAAATGAGGAAAGTGGTTCTTATCTTGTGTTGTGGATGAGCTTGGGGGACGTGAATCCCTTGAAATTATATTAAAAATCATTAGTGTTCATATGTGCTTTTATCTGGGAAGAGGGTTCACAGCTTTCTTCATGTTTTTCAAGCAGTCTGTGCCCTAGACAAGTTGCACGCTCCTGGTCTAGGTGATTCCTGATATCCTGTCCAGGTCTCAAACTTTATGATTCAGTGGGTTATCTTGAAATTGCTTTTTCTAGGCAAAATGACAGTGGAATTGGTTCTGTCTTGAATGATTTATTTCCCACCTTATTCTAAGACACAGATTCTGGAATTTGCTTTGCTTATCAGCTTAAGCCTAAGATTTTTATCATGGAAGAGGAATATTATTTTGCCCTTCAAATTTCTTTCTCATTATAAAAGTTAAAAAAAAAATCAAACATTGCAGAAATATTCAACATAGAAAGCAAGAGTCCCCCATAATCTTGTAAGTAGATCATTTGAAGAGGCAAACTTCAGTCATTTTTGCACACAGCCTTTCACAGACTGAAATTAAAGAGCTAAAAAAATAGATGGACCCAGTGAAGAGCCTCTGATGATTCTCAGGAAACACACAAAGCACTTGTAATTGGATCATCACTGTGTGCCGTCCTGCAGTGTGACAGAAATAAATATTCTGAATGAGCATCTTAAATAAAAAGATTTGACTCATATCCGTTGCTCGTTGTAAACAACGGGCATATTCTTCAAAGTTGGGAAAATCAGTGTTTTTATTTTATAAGTTAACTTATATTTGTAAAATATTAGGGAAATTATTAAGAGCAGGGATCTGCAAACTTGTTTTCTGTAATGGGCTAGATACTAAGTATTTTAGGTTTGGCATACTACACAGTCTCTGTCACAGCTACTCAGCCCTGCTGTGGCAACACAAACAAACAAGTGTAGCTGTGTTCTAGTAAAACTTTATTTACAAAAAACAGGCAGCTAGCTGGCTTTGGCCGACAGACCATTGTTTGCAGGCTCCTGATTTAGAGCAGTAACCCTGTCGTGAGTTCTTTTGCAGGCTTAAAAAACAAAACCCCCAAATCAAAAAATACTCCCTGTTATGGAGCTAGATTCCATACAGATTTCAATAATGAATGAGTTCTAGATTTTTACATTTTGAACTATTTTAAAGTGGGATGTAGCTATTTGCAACACCTTGGCTAGACAAAAGAAAGTTGGTATACGGATGAATTGAACAAAAGCATTCACATATTTGTCTTGTTGCTAGGATGAAAGTGGCAAATTTTAGCGATTCTTAAGTTCAGGCATTACCAAGGACCAACTAAAACCTAACAGAGGCTCCCCCAGCTCCGCCTGGCACAAGTAGGCGGGCACATTGTGGACTTTCTCCCCTTCTAAACCATCTGGTTTATGGGCCACTATTAGAAATGTTGTGTGCAGTGTACTAACAGTGACCTTTGGTATGGTCTCATCTCTTTTGCCATGTGCTGTGTTTTGTCTGTGAAATGGAGTAAACGTTGGTTAATATTCATACAAAATGCTATTGATGTGAAATTGATCCAGAAGCCAGAAATGTCCAAGTGAATGAATCTGACCGCTATTTGTCTTCTGTTCACAGTGGCACATTTCAGTACACCCTGGAAGCCACCAAATCTCTCCGTCAGAAGCAGGGGGAGGGCCCCATGACCTACCTCAACAAGGGACAGTTCTATGCCATCACGCTCAGCGAGACGGGGGACAACAAGTGCTTCCGACACCCCATCAGCAAAGTCAGGGTAAGGGCCTCATTTCTCCAGTAAAGCACAGAGGGATCAGGTGAAAGCAGTGACTACCTGCCAGCCTTGTGGAAGGGCATGGAAAAAATCCCAAAATAAATAATTCTAGAACACATGTCAGAGAGTTGGGGCAAGAGAACTTACTGGCTTGCAGTTTATCATTTTAATCAGTAACTAATAAACCCCAGGGAAGGGACATGGTTGGAACATGCTTTCTGACTGTATCCCAGGAATTTCCCCAGCTTCATTCATTGCCTACGTGCTACCTAGTTGTTGTCGTCGTTGTTTTCAATCAAATGATGTGCAGTTTTCAAGTAAGCAGCTGTAAGTCAGAGCGTATGGGTGGGCAGGAAAGAGCTGGGCTTTCTTCTGAAAAGGAGGGTGCAATTCATTCTGCGTCCCTGGGCCCTCCGCAGCTTTGCTAAAAGACTTCTGCAGCCTGGCACTTACTCAGGAGTCAAGAGGTGGGCATGATATCATCCCTACCAGGAGTGACTTGGAGGAATTTTCACATTCACGAGTTATTAGTTCTATTTGTGGGACATGAAACTGCCTTGGAAGCCTGCCAGCTTCTGGCATTCTCGCTACTGCCAAGAAGGGAGGGAACTGGTAATCCCTGTCGACTGAAAAGGAAAATTATAGCAGAGCTCTCAAAAGAGGCTGAAGGAGTTTCCTGCCCTGTTGTAAAATGATTTATGCTGCTGTGTGCGTGGTGTGCACTCCTAAGCTCTTTCTTCTGCATACTGAGAAAGGAGCGCCGTGCTGTGCCGAGCCCAGTGAGTTTACCCCAACCCAGATTCCCAGGCAAAGGTAACCCCTGAGGTAGAAGAGAAAAGAGTGTCCAGGCGCCTGCTGGCCGCTTTGCCTGTTACTAGCTTTTAGGTAAAATCATTGCAGTGCTGCTTTCTTGAATCAACCCGGTTTTACGGCTTTGTTTCCATGAGAAAGACAAGGAAGAATTGCTGCTCATTTGTCCAGCAGGCCTTTCTCCCTCCGAAGCCATCCCAGTTCCAGATCAGAGTGACAGGAGGCAGGAGGCAGGGCAGTTGAGAGTGAGGGGAAAGACAGGGAGGATGTGGGGCTAACGACCCACCTGAGGCTGAACCCGTGGCAGGTGGAAGAGTGCTGAGTGTGCCCTCCAGAGGAGTCAGTATGTTCCAACCCTGAGGTCAAGGCTACGGTGGAGGTATGCTGTCAGCCGCAGCAGCATCATCGTCACCATCAATCATCATCATCCCCATCATCACAACAACCAGAGCCACAGTGTAACAGCTAGTTTTTATTGAGTGTATCTTCTGTGTGCTGGGCACTGTGTTAAGCACTGTACATCTAGTAACTCGTTGAAACTAACAACAGCCCTATGAAATAGGCATTCCTTTTATAATGTTACAGATGAAGAAACTTGGCCTTTTAGAAGCTAGCAACTGACCAAGGTTACATAGCTCAAACGTGAGGGAACTGGGTTATATCCCCAAGCAGTCAGACCCCCGAACCTACTCTCTTAACCACTAAGTATACTGTATTGAGTAGCATGGAGGCCTGAAAGGCAGACGGAGTTTAGCATGGAATCCACCTCTGGAAATATATCCTAGAATTTGTATCCTAAACCCTCACGTGTGGATGCCTGGTAAGAAGACACTGGATACATATTCTTAAAAAAAAAAATCTTGTAAATTACAAGTGTAGAACTCACGTATACACCTTGGTCACAACACTGTTATCATCACCCTGAAAAGATAACGCATGGTTAGTAATCTGAGGCTATGACAACAGTTTGTAGTGCAGGAACTTTTCCAAGAATTTTCTTTCATTGAAATCATGGAAATGATTACATATAGAAATTTTATTTCCTTCTGTTGCGTTTTGCCTAAGACCAAGAGCCTTCCTTCTCTTAAGGAGTTCAGTCTAACAGCCTTGGAGAGTAGGATGGCCCTTCTCAGAATGGATCTTTCTTACTCCTAGGCTCTGTTAGAGCCAGCAGTGTGGAGAAATGAGGGATGCACTTGGAACCTCCTAGCGCTGATTTCTGAGAACAGCGTTGCATCCCGAGTCGAAGCGTAGCCGTGGTAATAGCAGTTTCAAACGGCCTTTCTCCTTACCACTGGAAAAATACATTTCCATCCCAAGAATACGCCATTTTAGTCATGTGCTAGAAAAAATTACCTGAAATGTTCTTTTTATTTTGGAACAGACAGAAAAAAACACCAGGAGGCTGGGCAGTAAACTCTTACATATAAATGGAAAAGCCTGCGGAAGGGGGAGGGAGGATGGAGAGAGGCTGAGCCCAGAGTTCCACCAGCCCAGCCAGTGGATCCCTTTCTTGTCAGCTCTCCTCCATGCCTTTGAGGGTCACGCCGCTGTGAATGCAGAGAGTATGGATGCATATCTCTAAACTAGCTTTTCTAACAAACACCTGCTTTCTTGTGTAACAGATGTTTACACACCACTGGGAATAAGCCAGATTTTGACCTGACAGTTCAGTCACAAACATGTATTTGGTATCTCTTATTTGTCGGGCACCAGGGCCCCCGTGGTGAGTGACTCTGTCCCAGCCCTCATTGGGATAGGCATCAGTGGGAAGACATTGCCATGGACTGAATAATTGTAAATAATTAGGTAGATGACTACAAGTATGTGAAATGCTACAAAGGAGAAGTTATTAAAGAATGGGAGTCATTGAAACACTCTTCTGGAATAGCAGAAAAATGTCTAAGAAGTATTTTGCATATGGAATGAGGGGGGGAGTATATTCCTGGATACGGTATTCCTCATGCTGTAATTACAGGGGTTTTGCTTTTTGGTTTTTTGGTTTGTTTATTTCTTTGGTTTTGGTACCTCCTCCATCTCATAAATGACAATGAATTAACATATATTTAGTTGAACAAGGCTGTAACTTAGAAGTGAAAGCAGTTTGGGATACTTATTTCTACAAGACATTATTAGTTTCTCATGCTCATTTTAAAAGTACATCCACATATTTTTATAAATAACATAGTTGACCTTGTAGCTTTTGGTCTATGAAATATCTGTAGCTTAGATCTTCGTTCATCAATATGAGCTCATCTTTTAATATTTCTCTCATTATTCCCACTAATCCAGCCAGAGGCACTTAATTAGGCCAGAAACAGATGTTTGCTCCTTTACAAAAGCACCAAATTCTATGTTTAAGGATATGAAATTTCAAAAATGTTCTTGTTTCCAATACAAGAAAAAAATCTTTTTTGGTATGCCCACTCAGCTCACACAATAATAAATTTGCTGGTAAATTGGATAATCTGTTTGTTTATGATTCATGGTGAAAATGATGTAGCGTTCTTTTTCACTATGTGCTGTTCTTGTTTCCCATTCATTTTTTTAAAGTAGTCCCATTTTCAAACAAGACAAACCATACGCCTGGGCTTACTGGGCTTTTCTAAAGCAAGAAAAACAAATTTACAGAAATGACAGCAACCCACCTCTGATAGAACTTCTAGAACTGGAGAGTGTGTGAAGCAGGAGGTGCTGAACAGAAAGTAAGCTCCGTGGTTCTCCCCCTCTGCAGAGCGTGGTAATGGTGGTCTTCAGTGAAGACAAAAACCGGGACGAGCAGCTGAAATACTGGAAGTACTGGCACTCTCGACAGCACACGGCCAAGCAGAGGGTCCTCGACATCGGTAAGTTGACCTTGACCTCCCGGCATGGTCTTTGGTAAACTGCCATGTTGTCATGATGCAAAGGAGAGCCCAGCCCAGAAATCACAGTTGGGACCCACGTCACTCTCATGATGTGCCAGGCACTAGTCTGTGCACCTTTCCTATGTTTTTAGTACATTTAGTACAAATCAGGCTGAGAAGTCAAAATCAGGCTAAGCTGAGAGCAAAACACTTTTCGTTCCATAAAAGTCAACTGTGTCTCCTATAATAATAGATTTAGCTTTGCAACGGCCGTGCCAGTTTCTAAAATATATTTCCATGCCCTCTCGTGTTTGAGCCTAATGATTGGCAGGCAGGCCAGAGGAACTGTTATCCCCCTGTGGCGCGAATACCTCAGCTCATTTGGTTCCAGGGTACTTGCGAAGGTCACGTGACTAGATACAGCATTCTCGTTCTCTAATTCTCCATCCCATGTTCCTTCCATCCAAACACATGTCTAGTGCAAATGATCCTAGGTGATCAGACAAACGCAATGTTTGAGAGAGCTTTCCCGGCAGCAGAGAAGGAATGGACCTGCCAAGTGCATTTTCTGGAATCTGTACATTCCTACACATGATGTCTGTTCTTCAGAGACCTAGAGCCCTCTGGACAAGACTCAGAGTCCCGTCAGGAAAGCAGAGCCCACACCAGGTGGTTCCATGGAGATAATTCATTGCCAGAGTTGGGAGGGCTGAAGGCACCGTGAGACAGTGCAGACAGGAGCAACAGCACGAGTCTGCTGCTCTTAGCTGGAGGGCCAGAGGATCAAAGGGAGAGGTGCTGGGTGTTGTGAGAGCTGCCCAGCAGGAACAGGCACCAGCTGGAGCTGGGACCAGCTTTCCAAGAGCAGGCAGAACCTCAGGAACCTCAGAGGAGTCACTGCCAGAGACACCCCTCAGTGCCAAGAGGGCGGGGGGAGAGGGGCTGCCCTGGCTTCGCCCTGCCTCCCAGTCTCCCCCGGTGCTTCCCGGTGGCCACATTACCCTGAAGCAGAGGGCACGTGACCCTGGCACATGCACTTTGCAGGAATCAACCTCTGAGACACAGAGCAAAGCAGGGGAAGTCAGGGATTGCATCTCAAAGTACCTAGAAATTACTTAAAAACGCAGTAATACAGTAAGTCCCCTACCAACGAACGAGGTCCCTTCCAAGAGCGCGTTTGCAAGTCCAATTTGTTCGTAAGTCCACCAAAGTTAACCTAGGTACCCAACTAGCACAATCGGCTATATAGTACAGTACTGTAATAGGTTTATAATACTTTTCACACAAATAATACATAAAAGCAAACACAAAAAAAGGAAGAAAACATTTCTAATCTTACAGTACACTACCTTGAGAAGTACAGTAGTACAGTACAATAGCTGGCCTACAGGGGCTAGCATCGAGTGAACAGGCAAGAAGAGTTACTGACTGAAGGAGGGAGAGGAGGTGGGAGATGGTAGAGCTGAAGGATCCTCAGCAATAGGAGATGGAGGGCAAGCTGCAATGTCACTCACGCCTGACGCTGATGGCACAGGTTCTGCTTCCTTGCTGGATTCAATTCTATCTACCCTCTTGAAAAAACGATCCAGTGACACTGTACTACTGTACTCTGTACTGTACTGTACAGTAACGTACACAAAAGCACCACCACTTGCAGAGGACGCACGCAGGTGACAATGTACACCAGACACATGAGCTAACTTACGTGACTGGACACGTGAACACAGGTTCGAATCTTTGAAAGTTCACAACTTGAAGGCAGGGGACTTAATGTATATGTGTTTCTAAGTAATTTTAACACTTTATCTACTTGCTGCTTCCATGAGAAATAAATCATGTCTCATTTATAGGCTTTATTTTCACATTTTGCAGACCAACAGCGTACAGCCCCAGTGAGGATAGGCCAAGCGAAGGTTTCCACTGTGTTGGACACCAGAGGTGCTAATGAGCCATTAAAAGGATGTTTACTTTGATTTCTCTCGCATTGTAATGAAGGATTTTTCAGACCTTCCATCTCACACTTGCTGGGGCCCCTTGACCAATGGCAGAGAAGTTAGTAACTAGGTGAGGGTTAGAGACTCACTGTAGAACATATTGAAACTAACTTGCTGTTTTTTCTTGCAAAATGGCTACACCACTCCTCCCCCTTCCCCCCTGCCACACATACACATCTGTAAACTCATCAAGCTTATTTATCTAATGAACTAGGAAGCCGAGGTCTAGAGAGGCTCACTGACCCACCTTTCCAAGTGACTTGTCCTCAGATAATTAGGGCAGGAATTAGTGCAGGAGCTGGGATAAAAACAGTCTTCCTCACCCAGGTCATACCCTGAACCCCTAAAACTGACTGACTAGGGCGAAGGATTTGGGGATACTTGCCATAACCTGCTTTGCAGCCAATCTGCACAGAGCAGAGGAACAATTTTATTTTATTTGAAAAGTTTAGCCTTATAATTATTGCCCAAGAAAATGAGAGGAGCAGTTAAATAGAAATATGGACCAGGTCCAAATAAGGCAAATAATAAAAGCATTTTCCTGGCATACCTATTGGTTTAAATTTCACGTCGTTACAAGGTTTACTTTTCTTGGACTAGAATGATCTCTCAGGTCTCATACGATTTCAGATCTTACCTCTTTTATCACCTCTTGCCTGCCTTTTCTCCCTCATGTAACCCTTTACACATGCGTGTGTGCCCACATGTACACACACGATTCATCATTGAGATGTGTGACTCTTACCAAGTAGCTTCATGGCCACTTGGGCTACTTGCTCTGAATCTGAGGTGAAGACACTGAATCAACCCCTTAGCTTCAAATGGAAAATCAATTTTCAGACCACAGTCTCTACCCCTAATCTCAACCTGACAGGATTAGGAAATATGCAAAAAATGTCATCTAATTCATTCTTGTACTAGATTAAAAAAAAAAAAATCAAGCCCTTTGTTCCTCTGCCAGTGGGTGGTTAACACCGTTTCCAATAGAATGGGGAAGCTGATGCTGCCACAGCACATATGTCTGTGTGTGGAAGCCGTCACCGGTAGTAACTGTGCAGGGCCGTGTAGAGAATGTTCGTGTGGCTGTACCTTGGCTGCTGAGGGGGTAGGGAGGCCCAAGAGTGTGTATGCTATACCGTTGTCATTTGGGGTTGAGAACCTTATAGTAGCCTGCAAAAGAAAAGGAAGAATCCCAAATTATGTAATGTGTTATCTTTCTTCACCTCCATGAACTGGAGGTTAAAGTCAGGGCTCCAAAGTTGCAGTTCCCACGCCTCCACCAGCCACTGTGGTCAGCAGGTTCAGCTGAGCCCTGCAGGTAGTGAACTTGAAGCTCATGTTAGAGACTGAGATGAGGCCCCTTTTGCTAAAACAAGCATTCATAACCTTGGTCCTTGGGGTCTGTGGGTGTGGGCTACAGGGGAACCTCAAACTCCTCAAATTACGCGTAACACAATTTTGTGTGTATGGGTGTGCGCATCCTTTCCTCTCCTTTCCGGGGGTGCCTGGGACAAGCAGCCTGTCTCCAGCACGCGGCCTCCCTCCCTCCACTCCAGGAGAAGCCCGATGGAGCTCTTACCTCTCTTTGTGTCTTTCCTTCTTCAACATCCCCTCAGCACTCACACTCAAGGATTCTCCTGGCATCTCTTGCACCTGAAATAATCATGCCTGGAGAACATTCTGCATCTTCCCTGACATAAGTCTGTCTCCCTTGGATAAGATTGTTGGCTGTTCTTTGTGGCTACTCTTCATCTCCCACATACTCTTGATGCTCTGAGTAGCCCCTGTGTGCTGGCTGCCTGGTGGGAGAGGACCCTCTGCGTCCCCGATGGAGCCCTGTCTGTGGATCCGTGGAAAGGAGAGTGAGAGCCTGAGGGCCAGGGAAGGAGGCTGCCCCTCAGAGCACGTGGCGCCTCAGCTCCCAGCTTCCTGTGTGCTGAGTGGAGTTCTCGGTGAGGCCATCCCTGCCTCACACCAGTGACATCCCTCCTTGAGTGGATACTCCCATGATGCCCAGCTTGTTCCCTCACTTCTTGGAGGCTTTGCCTGTTGTCACCTTATCAGAGAGAGACCTTCCCTATCACCTTACCCAAAGTCACCCTCTCATCACTCTTGAGCTCCCTTAATTTTAGTTTACTGCAGACTGCTTGTTATCACCTAACAGGTTATTATGAATATATGTTTCTATTTCTTATTGTGTGCCCCCTCCTACTAGAATAAGCCCGTAAGAGCAGGCACTTGTCTGATTTGTTCTCTGCTCCAGCCCCAATGCTTAGCACAGAGCCCAAGTCATCATGAGTGTTCAATAAATATTTCCTGAAGGAATGAATGAGTGAATGAATGAATGAATGAACAAATGTATGGATGAAACTCTTACTACAGTGACGGGAGGCAGGCTTTCGAAGGAGTGAACTGTGTCTTAATAAAAGCTCCCACGTGTCTGTTGCCTTCTTTGTACTGGGCTCTTTCTGTGCATCAGACATAAACATTTTGTCCTTCCTCCTGAAAACAACTTACTTTGTTGTTTAAAAACTGAGATGGTGAGGGGCTAAGAATTTTACCCAGGGTCAAATCCCTGGTAAGTGAAGATGGAAACCCAGGAATGCTGGAGTTTGCACCCCTTGTTTTATTTTTTATTATTCGATGTCTTCACTCCACTGTCTATTGTCTTTGTATCCTGACCTGTAGATAGTTCTTGGCCCCCATCAGGCCATGCGGAGTGACTGCACACATTCATGAATTGACCTTGCATTGAGGTCCTTCTTCTCTCCTCTACGCCTTTCTCTCCAGACATTGAGAACATCTTGCACTCTGGGTGGTAGGACTCTTGGCCGCTACTAGTTCTGATATTTCTGAAAGCCAGTTCGGAGACGAGGTTCTTGTACATTAGGCCATAAACTATGTTTGTGGGGAAGGAAGCATTAGCAATTAGCTCTTACTGGATATAAGTACAACAAACCAACCCCAGCCCAAGTGCCTTCTGCTGCTTGGCAAAGCACACAAGCA